CAGTTATAGGTAAGCACTTGTAGCAAAGAGTCTGTTGCTCATTGAGTGCTTAGGTTCTCTTGTTTGGTTCAAAGACGTATTTGATCAGTGCCTCTTTAATTGGTAGCATCTCTGGGAACTCCTTGCTTAGTTTAGATCCATCCATTTCATTGTTGCTTCTAGCAGCAACAATGACTTTTGCTTGTTCTTCCACTGTGAAGTTAGACCATTTGAATCCCGGATCGATGTAGTTCTTGTACATCTCCAGTATCTCGTTGTGGCTCACCACTCCTGGGTTGGTGAAGTTCCATATCCCTCTTAGGTTTCTCTTCGCCATCTCGATGGAGATTGGGAGGAGCTCGTCCAGTATGGTCATGCTGTTTGGAATGTTCACTACTTTGCTGTAGCGCGAGATCTTCGTGATGAAGTTTCGCGGGTTGTTTAGGTCTGATGAGATCGGCATCCGCACCCTCAAGGTACATACATTGTCAAATTCTCTCAAAAGCTCCTCAACCTGGTGACAAGAAGGAAAAAAAACAGAGCAGTTATGAACAAAAACACATCTGGACCCTCTAAGTGTGTCATGAGTTAGATATAATCTTACCATAGCTTTGGTTTTTGAGTAGAAAGAACCGGCGAAATTTGGCTTGTCTTCTTCCTTGAAACCGATACCCGAACCCTCGGGATGTGCAGCATCGTACTCAAATATGCAACCAGTGGCGAAATTCATCATCAGAAGATCATTCTCTCTGCAAACATCTGCAAGAGTCAAAGTACCAGCGACATTGACACGAATGGTCTCGGGTTTGTGAGATTCACACCAATCAACATTAGGTCTCCCAGTTAAACCAGCAGCATTAAACACATGAGTAGGTTTGACGCTACGAATATCCGCCAACAGAGAAGCTCTGTCCTCCAAACGCCCTTTCCCGTACTCGTAAGTAATCCCTTGCTTCTCACATAGCTTCCCTAGGAGCCCACCAATCCAGCCAGTTTTACCATAGATCAAAAACTTATCACCTGAACCACCACTCTTGTTAGGTGTTACAACCGTAAATGTCTGGACCGTGTTGCTTGATCCGTCTTTCTTCTCGCCAGAGCCATCAGACATTCTTCCACCGGGCATCATAAGCATCCTCGGGTGAGGTAGCAAAGCACCAGAAACATCACCCCACCACTCAGGATTCTGAGTGTACCATTCCATTGTCTTCTTCAATCCATCTTCCCACACGGTTCGCTCTGACCATCCCAATTTCTTCAGCTTCTGATCATCAAGGAAGTACCTTTGATCATTAAACGGTCGATTCTCCACAAACTGAATGCTTGATTCAGGATCTCTCCCGAAAAGTTTGCAGACGTCTTTCGCAACATCAATCACTCTTCTTTCTCTCTTTGTCCCGATATTATAGACATGACCGACTTCTCCTTTGTGAAGAACAACCTCAAACGCCTCAGCAACGTCTTCACAGTACAAGTAACTCCTGACATTAGATCCATCTCCATGGATCGGAAGCGGCTTTCCACTCATAGCCAACAAGATAAACTTAGGAATCAGTTTCTCAGGAAACTGATTAGGACCATAAACATTATTTCCACGAGTTGTAATAACCGGTAAACCATACGATCTACCATAAGCCATTACAAGCATCTCAGCACCAGCCTTAGTAGCTGAGTACGGATTTGTCGGTAAAAGCTGAGAAGCTTCATGGTTTCCAACAGCAGCATCTTCATCGGTTTCTCCATAAACTTCATCGGTACTCACATGAATAAACCTCCTGATCTGTCCTGTTACTTTACAAGCTTCCAAAAGAACATGAGTACCATAAATATTGTTCTTTGTAAACTCAAAGCTATTACCAAAAGAGTTATCAACATGAGTTTGAGCAGCGAAATGCATAATCGTATCGATGTTTTCGGTAATGAGAAGGTAGTTTACGAGATCATCGCTCGCGATATCTCCTTTCACGAACTTGAAATTCGGTGAAGAAAACGAAGGATCGAGATTCTTCAGATCTGAACAGTAATCAAGCTTGTCCAATACAACGATCTTGTAATCTGGATAGCTACGGATTAATCTGTTTGCAACATGTGATGCAATGAATCCAGCAGCTCCAGTTATGAGAATGTTCTTAGGCTTATACGTTGTATCCATTTTCGAAAAAAATCAAATCTCTGCAAAACATAAAAAATGTCACAATCATATTAACAAGGTAAGATCCAGATCCAATCGTATAAGAGACAGAATCAAAATCAATAACTTTTTACATTATTGGATCATAAACAGATAACACCAAAACATAGATCAATCATTACGTTTACAACATTTCACAAAAATTAGCTTAGAGATAAACATTTTCACGTACCGACACAATTTCAGATTAGAATTCGAATAACCCAAGAAGATCTTTA